CTCAGCTGCACAGAGGGGCCAGGAGCTCTGGGAAGACCTGCTGGACAGCCTTGCCTTACTCCCCGCACCAGCTTCACTGCCCTGTGTCTGCACATGCCGAGAAAGGGCAACATGAGCTCCGTAGGGCCCAGCAAGCTTGCTTATCCGTGCTATTCTGGACATACAATGTACCTGGGGACCTGTCCATGCTGGCAGGAGGAGGAGGACCAGGACTGCAGCTGGTCCTTGCCTGGAGCAAGTGACGGGGGCAGCAGGAGGTGCGAGTGCCCCATCACATGCTCCCAGAGACAGGAGGCCTGACTGGCTAGAGGTACCCCTCGCTCCAGGGATGGTGCTTACCATGGAGAGGGCCTCCCGGGTCTGCTGGAGGAGGGGCTCAGGCAGCAGGGAGATGTGCACACACTCGGGGATGGTCACCGTGCCCCCGTCCAGGTCAGCAATGACGACGTCCAGCTGGAAGCACAGAACCACACCACAGCCCCGTCTAAGCCAGGCACCAGGGTATGGACAGGCTCTCTCCTCTCCCGAAGAGCCCAGGACACCTGGCAGCCTCGGCAGGCCCATGTCTGGTGCCTGCTGCTACTATATTCTAGCACCTGCTAAAGCACATGGGGCTCCCTTCCCCCGCCGGGGTGGTGCCAGCCCACATTCACACTGCCCAGCCAGGCAACGCAGTACCCCCAGCACTGGGGTTTGCCTCCCTGCTCTTCAGCACAGTGCACAGGGCTGGCAGTGACCAGAAGGGGTGAGAAGCAGCTCCACATCCATGCGTGAAAGGTGGTGCTTTGCCAGGCTGGGCACGGAGAGGGCAGTGCCCCGGCACCAGCTGCTACACCGGTGCTGTCCTGCTGCACGAGCAGCTGCCCTGCTCGGTCCCTGGAGGGGATTCTGAACTGGGGTAAAGGCCGCATGGATAAACACGTCTCAGTCTAATCCAGGTTATAAGTATCCGGATCAGACACCAACTAGGCCCAACCACGGCCAGGCCAGGTAGAGCTGCCGATCACAGGCTAATGAGCTCAGAGATGCAGAAGCTTGCAAAGCAGCAGCTCAGCTGCCTGTGTCCTACCACGTGCTCACAGGGCCTTTTAAATCTCTTTAATAACCGAACCCTCAGCCAGTGGGGACCGTGCTTGAATAGATGAGACCTACATCCCCCAACCAGTCCCAGGCTGACCCTGCCTGCTCCCTGATTCCCTGTGCCCATGAAAAGGCCTAGGACCCCCCCCCCCCGACCCCGCCCTC